GATATTTAATTTTTCTGTAAGCACAACATTGCTCTGAAAACAATACATATACATCATCTGTTATCTGAAACACTCAAGGAGAATGGTGAAAGTATGATTTTAGAAGGTGAGGCAAAAGGAATAGTCAAATTTGTCTAAAAAAACAGGTGGGACTTGGGACCTAAAAATGCAACAACTTCTGAAGATACATTTCAGACTAAATCCAGATTTGTAGAAACTTATTAGCTGCGCTTAGATTTCATGTATATTTTTGTTTGCCTGAATATCTGATAAAGTTTTACAAATATGTTCTGTGCTGAAAATTTTTTTAAACTGAAGTCTGCCCATCTCTTTCATTGGCTAAGCTCATTCATTTTACAAGAGTTCTTTGCTGCTTTCTGTTCTGCGTGGACATAGGAGTAGTTTAAAAAGATAAAGAAGTGATACAGACATCTTGAGCAACTTGACTAAGAAGTTGAACAAATTATCTTCCTTGAAAAATAAAGGTAAGATAAAATCTTCTGAGTGAGCTCAATTCCAGTTGACTTTATGAGTATGTCCTTATAATTTTCTTGGCAATAGTATAGAAGAGGATTTTCATGTCTACGTTTTGGACACTTTCCTAACTTTCCAATCTGGTTATTGCCCTTAATTCTTTAATACCTTCCATCCAATTATTTAACCAGGGCCAACCCTGCTTAGTTTCCAAACCCAGACATGATCAGCCAAGAAAATGCTGCCACATATTGAGACAAATAGTAAAAGGGGGGGGGGACAAATGGAATAGGAGCTTGTAGTCCTTTCATAGCACCTAAGTTAATGCAAAAACAAAAAAAGAAAATTAGTTTATGCCACTGAAAGGATTAATAGGAAAGGGGGATGATCTTCCCTGAATGACTACATCTTTCCAGCATGTGTCCCCCTTGTATGCAAGTCTTAGAAATTTATGCACATTCCATTGCTGCTTGTGGTATTCTCACGAGCATGTTGTTCTATTTCCTACTCAATAGGCTCCTTCTGCAGGAAATGCCTCATGCAAGCAGCTACCCTAGAAGGGGTTGGATGGGATGATTGACACAATTGTTCTCCTTGAGAACATTCTTTCATTTTTCTGCCTGATTTCAGTTATGCGCAGAACAAATGGGATTTCTGGCCATGATCTGAAGTTACAATTAGTAGACCTTGCTCAGCTTCTCAAAACCAGTTGAATAATGGGAAAAAAATGTTCCACTCTTGGTGAACAGGTCAAGTATCACCTTTCACAGTAATATACGGTATTCTAAAAAACCTCAGAAAGAAAGCAGACTACAAGGTGAACCAATGTGTGAGTTGCCTCAGCCTATTGACCAGTCTTCAATTTAATGCCTTCCAGATGTGTGGAGCAATATCACCCGTGACGCCTAGCTATCATGTTTAATTAGTGCCTGTCTGGGGACAATGGAGGAGATTGTGCAACATATAGAAGACACTGTTAAAGCAAGATGAACATATTTTGTATGAGATTCTGAATGATCTGATCACAGGAGTGAGATTTGCCAAGGTGATCAGGGAATTAATATTCTATAACAATTGCTTCAAAAAGCTTCAGAGTGTAGCAAATGTACACAAAAGTGCACATTTGTCACTTTGAAGCTACATCCTTGTACTTAGCTTTTTTAAAAAAAACAAGTTTTATTGGTTTTTTTCATTTTACAAACAAGTGCTTAAGAAACAACGTGGTGGCAGGGCAATCAATTGTCCACAAAACAAAATCATACTCATAAAGGTCAGATTAAATCATTAAAAAACCCCTCTCTTTTCCCTCTAATAACATATTATATTCAAATTGATATATTCAATACAACTAAATCAATCATAACAATCCTCAATAACCTTTCATCTAAATAGATCCACAAATCCAAATCCTGTGTGAAGCTTAACTATTTCAATTACTATATTCCATATTTCTAATCTAAGTACATAGTTAACACTTCGGGAATCTCCCCATTACCTTTTTCCTTAACATATTCAATAAACATTTATTAATATCATTTCTTCTTTTTCCCTATTCTTCTTCCATTACAAAGTGACTATCAGTTCTAATATAAAAACAAAATATTAGTTCAAATCAGAAAAGAAAAAGAACAAAGAAAAAACAAAGACAAAACAAAAGAGAAAAAATACCTTTCTATTTCTATTATACTTTATAATCTAACAATCAATCCCTCAGTATCTGTATCACATTTCTTTAACTTCCTCCCAAAGTTACTATATCCAAAACATATGAATACATAGACAAAGACCTTATTATTAAGTTCAGATCTTTAATTAATTTTTATTCAATCTAACATCTTATTTAACTGTCTTAAGCCATAAATCAATCCATATCTAGTAAGCCTTTTAAACCCATTACATAAAACCTTAAGTCACACTCTTAAATCTTATTCTAGCTTTCCTTTTATGCCAAACAGGTTTTCATAATAACGCCACTATATCAATGAACAAGTCGCTTTTTATGTCTTGTAGTATCCTTTGAATCAAACAGAGACGTCCTCTTTTCTGTTTTAGAGACCTAGCTCCTTTGTAAGTAATCCCTTGTTGTTTTGAAAAGTCAAATCTCCATGTTTGAAACTGTTGAATGGCTGGCTCAATTATGTCCAACTTTGTGGCTAATAGTTGTTTATCCAAGCTACCATAGTTCTCAGTTCGTTGGGCTTGTCTGTCCATTGCTGTTGGTTTTAGGGTTGTAAGTGGTTTAATTGCAGTCCTTTTTAGTTCCTCGGAGATCTCATCAGCATGTGTATGAAGTAGAATGGAATCTTCTTTACCTTTAGTTAATCCCACTTCTGTTGTTTCTTGGTCCATAGAGTGCTCAGACAAAGTCTGGGAATCAATTTGTAAATTCAAAGCAGAATTTCTGTTTTTTATTTCATAGTAGATTCTTTTATTTGCAAACGTATTTCATCAGTAGCTTCATAAAGTTTTTCCAATATAAGTTTATAGTCAGGTTGAACCAAGGGTTGCTCCATTTCAAAAATAATTAGAAACAGTCTATATCATTTAGTAGAGGCTGTGTTCAGGGAACATTTAATCAGTGTTCACCCCCACCAGTACAGCTGTTAATTTTCTTTGTATTTTTCCTTTTATGGTAATCTGAAAGTCAAGGTCAGTCTAATCCTCAGAAAAAAGAGAAAGTTGCAATTTTAACTTTTTCCACAAGGTGTCCTCAGTACAATGTAAAATCTTCTCCCAGAGACCAGGAATCTCATAAACAAGTTCAGGAAATACAGAAAAAAGGAGAATTCAAGTCCAATAGCAGATTCAATATTCACAAAATTTTCCAAGACCCCAAAGTGAAGGAAAAAAAGAAAAAGAAAAAAAAATCACTTTAAATTAATTCAGTCCATTTAAGCTTCTTTTTTCCACACTCAACAAACACTGCTTTCTTAGAGTAGGGAAATCATTTCAAAAGTGCTCTTTACAGGCACAAAAGAAAAAAGAAACCCAAGAGAGGGAGAAAAAAAAGTCTCACCCAGCTCAGTCACGGTGGTTCCTGTGCTTAGATGTTCTTCTGACTTCTGGTTACAGCAGCAAGGTGAACGGCCATTGTACTGGCCGTTCTTTCCACCGTCAGCCCAAAGGAGCAATCGCGGTCCATGGAAGAAGCTGCCGCTCTCCCACGGACGATGAGGACCTCCTCAGCAGTAGCCGCTCCTCCAAGGCAGCTTTTCAACCCGATTAAGGGTCTACCGGCAGCAGAGAATCAGCTGGCAAAGAGAGCAGTCTTATCGCGCAGCTGCGAGTGCCGCGATCCAGAACCGGAAATACTTAGCTTTTTTGATTATGTTTTACTGGAGCAGTTTCCCCAAACTGGTGCCCTTCAGAAGTGCTTGGGTTACTGTGCCCAGAATTCTCAGCCAACATATGAAAGGCACCAGAGTTGAGAAGGGTGCTTAGATTACTAGTTTCTTTATTCATTGTTTTGATTAAAACAAATCTTACAACTAGCTTAAATTCATGGCTTGCGCTATTAATGTTTGATGGTTAGCTACATTACACTTTTAATATGCAGAAATAATTTAGTCTTCATCTGTTTTGCCTTTTCAACATACTTGTGAGGTGAATCACAATCATTCCCACATGAGAAGATTGAGAGAATATATTTGCTAACAACTTGTTAAATAGAACAAGGATTTGAGTCCAGGCCTTCTATTCTATATCCAGTGCTCTGTGTACTCTCTCTTAACTTAATTGCAACAATCTTCAGCTCTTCCAGATGTGGAATGTTTTATTTGACTCTGTGGCCTGACTATTTTCTTTCTTATTTACTGTTAAATGCCACATTTCTTTCTTTAAATCTGCCTTTTGTTGGTGATTCCTTTTCTTCTTGCTTTTCTTTCTACCTCTTTGATTCTCTGTTAGCTCATGGCTGTGACACCAGTAATACGATTCATATAATTGATGAGATAAAAACTCATGTTCTATGGAATGCCTATATTAGGCTGAACTGTCATACCCTGGAAAGAAAAAAAAATTCAGGTGTACTCATTAATCATTATCATCCTCTTACTCAAGTTAAGGAGCCCTGGTGATGCAGTGGTTAGAATGCAGTATTGCAGTCTGTTTCTGCCAAGTGCCAGCAGTTCAAACCTGATCGGATCAAGGTTGACTCAGCCTTCCATCCTTCCGAGGTCAGTAAAATGAGGACTGTTGGGAGCAATATGCTGACTCTGTAAACTGCTCAAAGAGTGCCATAACGCACTGTGAAGCGGTATATAAGTCTCAGTGCTATTGCTATTTAAATTTATGTAGATTTAAAACAACATTCAGTTTTTTAAAAAGAAATATTAAAAGGAAATGTGAGGCATTTTGTGTTTACCTAATGTACATGAGAGTAGGAATTTCTTGGCAAATTGACTTTGTAGTTTGTCCCATGTTTCTGCCGTCACTTGCATCGATTTGTTATGCCTTTTTCCTCCTCTACTTCCCATAGTCCACAAAGAAGAAAGAACCTCTTTAGTGCTGTCATTATGCAAATAAAGCATAAACAACATCAGGAATAAGGACTCCAAGATTTGACAGTGAACCTTTTTCTGGGACATACAGATGCTCACTGAAGCCAGTCTGATATTGTAAGAACCCAGTTAACTGTTTCAATCAAAATAAGAATTGTCTATTTCAACATAAAATGTTATGAGCCCTTTAGAAAGTTTTTTTTCTCCCCCCCTTCTGCCATCTGTTCTTTTTCAGCAAACTGCAAATCAATTTTATTAGGAACTTCGCAGGGTGAATTAATTATGTAGGTCTTGTGAATCAAATGACCAACTTAAGTCTGTGTTGTTATTGTTTTTTTAAGTGGGGATTAGAATGTTTGGTAGGGGTAATACTGATAAAAAATTAGAAAAATACATTTTAATAAGAATTCCCTCTTCTCTGGGAAACTTGGTGCGTGACTAGGATTAGACATTTCTAACTGTGAAGTTTCATTAGTATCATGAAACTGCAATTTCCAGAATTCTCTTGGGGAAAACTATGATATTTAAGATTATGCAACCAATATATTGCAGTCTAGAATGGAATTAAATGAGGCAAGAATGCTGAATCTAAATGAATCCTTAAGAAATATATTTTTCTTTTTTACTGTTGCACTTGGATCATAGACATTTCTGTATTATCCTTTTGGGATGGGTCCATAACTCTGAAATAATGTGTGTATTGAAGAATATATAGAAGGTCTCAAGTTCAGGAATTTCAGACAGCACAGCTGAAAAAATTCTTCCTTTCCTCTGAGGTCTTAGGCTACCAATGCTATTTAGGCAGTATTGAGTCAGAGACCAGATGGATCAATACTCTAACTCTCTACAGGAGCTTCCGTTATGGATCTATCTAAAGCTGGGCCAGCCCTGCCTTTAGGCGTAGCAGAACAAACTTACAAAATAGCATATTTTGGGAGTGGTAACATTAGGTTGTATTTGCTTTGTGCACTTAAGGCAGCTTGGTGCTTTCAGATGCAAAGAAGTAAACTGTTTATCACCAATGTTCCATAGGCGTTTTAGAGGCTGATAAAAGCCCAAAACTGAATATACCTGCAAAGAGCAACAATGCAAGAGATAAAGGAAGAAGCAAGAGAACAGAGGTGAGCCTTAGAGATTGGCAGAAAACTGTACTAATAAATCAGCTACTGTACTAATAAATCAGCTACTCCCAATTTCAGATATTTCTTCACCAGTATGTAGAGTGTGGGAAATAAATGGAAAACCTGAAATACTAACACAGGAGGTACTAACACAGGTATGATATCATAGGCATCACTGAAACTCAGTGGGATCATTGCTTATATTCTAGTTAGTAGATCACAAGTTGAACATGAGCTGAAAGCGTGATGCTGCTACTAAAAAGGCAAATCTATTTTGGGATGCTGTATTAATAGAAACGTAGAGTTCAGATTATGAAAAATAACTATCCCATTCTAATCTGCCCAGGTCAGACCCCAGTTGGAGTACTGTGAGCAGTTCCAGATATCACCATCAAAAAAAGTAATGGTCAAACTGAAGTGAATTTAGAGGAGGGCCATCAGAATGGTGAAGAAATTGGAAAACAAGTCCTGTGAGGAACAGTTAAAGCAGTGGTTCTCAACCTGTGGGTCAGGACCCCATTTGGGGTCGAACGACCATTTCACGGGGGTCGCCAAACAACGCAGTCCACCATTTTTTCCCCTTTTCCTTCGCTGTGCTACTCCCTTTTATTCTATTGGCTTTAGAAAGCCAATAGAATAGACTCTCTTGAATAGAGTCTAATTCTATTGGCTTTCAAAAGCCAATAGGAATTGTCCAGGCTGTCTCTGCCCTGCTGAGCCCGCCAAAAGTCCCATTCTGCAAATGGTGCTGCAAGTTGTCTGCAGTGAAGGCGAGCTATCTGGAAGTTTCCACCCCTCCCTGCTGAGCAACTACTAAAAATGTAAGTACAAGAGGGCCAGGGGTGGGAGGTGGGAGGCCAGCGAGCGCAGGGAGGGTTGCTGGCGTGCGTGGCACCCAGCGGGTGCCTTACCTCCCTTGGGCTGGGCCAGCTGGTGGCCCAGCCGGTGGTCGGCCTGCTCCATCTCTGCCGCTTGCCAGCTATGCCTCGGCTGGCACAGGGGGCGGCACCACGCATGCGCGGCGCTCCCGGGCAGGGAAAGTCCTCGACTTACGAACGGTTGGGTAGTCCTCGACTTACGATCGGTTGGGGTCACGGCATTAAAAAGGTTGAGAACCACTGAGTTAAAGGAAATTTATATGTTTTACCTTGGAAGAGAAAATAGAGGAGATTCAATAGTAGCCTTCAGATATCTAAAGTATGTTCCTATATAGGATGGAGTGTTTTCTCTGGAAGGCAGAACCAGATCCATTGGATTGAAACTACAGGAAAGTACATTCAGGCTAGGAGAAATTTCATGAGGTCAAGCACTGGAAGAGGCTGCCTTATGTAGTGGCGGCCCCGCTTTCGATGAAGGTTTTTAAACAGAAGCTGGATAGCCATAACAGCATATTTATTCTAAGCGATAGGCTGGACTAAATGAAATCTAAGAATATTTCCAACTCTGTGATTCTGGTCAACTGCCTGGTCACCTCACATTTTGTATATGAAACATAAAGAAGGAAGGAACATGGTCTTATTCTTTACCTCCAGGGAGGAATCTTCCTTGTGCTCACTCTATTGTTGAAAAAAAATGAACTTTTGGGTAGTTTGGACAAACTTCCACACTTTCACTCTATTCTTTCCCCTCCCATGTCAATAACTTTTCTATATACTGAACCTAATAAAGACATCTTTAAAGAAGCAAATGTTGGCATTATCTTGCAGGCTGTTTAAGAGAACCTGCTTTAATCTCTTCTTCATTGCTTTTCCTGGAATGAAGTTTAAGCTTTTTTTTTTTTTTTTGCCCCTGTAGTGTCATGACTCTTTCTTTCTTTCTTTCTTTCTTTCTTTCTTTCTTTCTTTCTTTCTTTCTTTCTTTCTTTCTTTCTTTCTTTCTTCATACATACATACATACATACATACATACATACATACTTTATTTTTCACTTTTTTGAATTGCCCAGCTCCATCAGATTTGGAACTCTGGATATCTTACCATCAATCAAATCTTGTTCATCTATTAGAGCTGCAGTGAAGGAAAACATATCTTTATTGTTACTTACATTCATTCATTCTCCCTCAGATTTGATATAAGAGCCTATATGTGGTAAACGTCTTGTCATCTCAAAACCTTGTGCTATGCCAGAGTTGTTTATAGAGCATTCAAATCTTATGGTCCCTCTGTTCATTTTCTATGTACAAAAAAAATGCCCCCATCTTTTAAAGCACTGGTTCCCAACCTTTTCTATACTTCGCACCCCTAGAACACTTCTGATATATTCTCACACCCCTTACAAAAGTTCAAAATAACAGCAACAAATTATGCATATACACTATAATTTTGAAAACCCAAGTTTTCACACCCCCTGGAATATCATCTCGCACCCCCAGGGGGTGCAAGCAGCCCTTGTTGTGAAACCCTGCTTTAAAGCCTGGTCAATAGACCTATGAGGTTTTCATGGGATCAGTTGATTAGAAACAGGAATTTTTGAAATGGATAAATGCACCAGAAACAGGACATATGCCAATGAACTACCTGTATAATGGAATCATTTTGGCTGATGCATGTGGATCATAGGCAATGCCTTGAATGCAAGGTAGAAAAGCCAAAGATAACTACCCTTTTATCTCAAAGTATAATAGGGAAGTGAATATTGAATAATCTGTTTGCCTGTATTGATAACATCAAATGTTCTGCTGGAGGCAGGCTACTTTGTTGTATTCAGTGAAAAGATAATGCTCTCAGTGTTAACACTTTTAACATTTCTTTTTGTGCTTTGGTATGTAATTTGTTTGTAATACAGTCATCTACATGTCTGTTCAGAAGTAAACCTCTGGATTTCAACAGGATGTATTGCTGGGTAATGTGCATAGCAGTTTTTTCCTACTTTGATACTCTTCAGTTCTCAGAAACCTTAGAAAGCACAGCTAATGAGAACTGAGATCTACTGTTATTTAGGTTGTGGGGTGCTAATATGTAGGGTTGCAGCATTAGGGAGTGAGCATTTCACTCTAGATCCATTTAAATAAAACTTCCCATAGCAAAGGAAGAGCTAGGAAGCCAGCAAGATTATCTCACCAATCCACCCCCAGTCCCTCATGTCCATTTTTGGATTTGGGGGCACACGTCTCTTTATGCTCAGCTAAAGAAAGAAATAAAGGTAGGAGGATCTCTCAGCTGGAAAATTTCTTTTTAACTTATCTACACTCACCTCTGTCCATTAAGTCATATTGAATGTATCCCAAAATTATTTCAGCATTTAGAATTAAATATATTTTCTTTCAAGATCTAAGAGGAAGCATCAGAAACTATGCACCCTGGAGAATAGGTAGGAAGAAGAGAGATACAAAATTAAGTTGGAGGGAACTCAAATTAGTGGATAAAATAGATAGAATCTAGCTGTTTTTATTTTAGAAGAGGAAGGGCACAGTCCATCTGCAAGGTTTTTTGTTTTTTGTTAATAAACATTGCACAGTTACTGTTTATTTCAGTGAGGTTTGCTTAGGAGAATTTCTTAGGAAATTGAAATCCTAAGTTTAATTACTAGCTTTCATGCTTAAAAGGGGGGGAGATATGTCATTTTGAAATATGATTCTGCCTGCTATTAATTCTAGAGTTACTTAAAAACAAATACCACAAAAAGAAGTTGATGGTTTTGTCTTCGAAGTCTGGAGATTTTGGATAACAATATTTTATTTTCAAGACCTTACTCATTATATTTGCTATTGTCTGCAATTAGTGAATCCCGGAGTTGGCTGGACACCTATGTTCATGCTGCCAAATGCCCTTATATTAGATAATCCTCTCTATTTCTGCATTGGAATCCTCTATCTTAAAAATGTTGAAAGCAATGATGATATCTTGTGCTGCTTTATGAGGAAAGATAATGGTTTTCAGAAAGTTGGCACAGAATGCCCTCTCCATTACAAACACAATAATATTACCATCTTTTTCTTTATGGACAGAAAGTCTCATATTCCTGCAGCAGTTCACGGAAAGGCAGTTTTAAGCAAGGTTTCATCTCTAAATTTTGCAGTTTGTGAAAAAGTAATAACATAGAACATGTCTCCATAAAACATGGAAACATTAGAAGCTACAAAAAGAGAAAATTCAACCAAATGGGTTTTGTGGCTTGCCTTCCATTAAACCCCCCCCCCAAAAGGCGGATAATGACTTGTACTGTGCCTCACAGCTGGGTATGTAAACCATGTGCATGATCATGGTTTGAATCAGCCACCATAGATAGACTGGTAGTGTTCTCATTCAAACAGCCATGAGCCCAGCTTTTATTTCTATACTTCCATAGACTTTAATGCAAGTTCTTCCCAAACCTTTTTCTTCATTAGCCAAAACTGCTTATTAGAAAGTCCCTTTTTATCACCATTTATAAGAAAGGGTTAGGGATCAGCTTTTTTTTTTCTTTTTTTGGGGGGGTAATATAGGTTGAGAATTGCCATTTTTTAAAAAAAACATGAAAAATACATTGGTGAAGGATAAAAAAAAATGTGTAAAGAAATCCTCTTCCCCTGTGTTTTGAGCCTTTCTTTCCCTCACATGGCTCCACCCACCAGTACACTGAACTCCTGAAGAACAGATGGTGGAAGGTGCAGCCAGTTACACAGGCCTTGCCAAAGAACGTGCTGTGCACATTCCTCCTCCCCTGATATTAATGGTTGCCCCCATCACCCACAAGAGTAGCAGCAGGAATCTGAAGGAGATCAGCATTTAGCAACATATAGCCTACATGAACATAGTTCTTGCACTCTTTATTCTTGTTTATTTCTGCAGAGCAGCCAGTGGGAATGGACTGGCATAATGTGTGGTTAAGACAGATTTGTACAGCTATTTCTGACATATCTTTTTGGAGGGTGCTCCACCAATCACTAGCTGGGACCCAATAGATTCTCGACAGATCCCCATTTCTTTTTTCTTTGTTCTCCCATGCCAGAAAAACTAGGAGGTTTGTCTGTTGCCAGAAATGATGCTAGGCTAGCCTTAAAGAGGGTGAGGCTGAGGTA